AGGGCTATGCAATAAATTTAACCCGCCATAAATTATTTAGGAGCAGCCCGTGGTGTAAATCAAAAACACGAGTGTTTGTTTAAGAAATAAGCTCCTTGTGCATAAAATGACTTTTTCTTTGGTGGGGGGAAGCATCCCTGAACAAAATGAGCTGGTGCTAAGGCTCTGCCCCTGCACAGACGCTCCCTTGCCTCTTCTGCCCTTACCTTTTTCTGAAGATGTAAAGGGTTCTTTCAGTAGGAAGTTTTATGCTTTTCCTTATCAGACAAAATCCGTTTCTCTCAACAGCCTCTGCTTGCTTTTATTGCATTTTGAACAGTCAGCTCTGATTTTTATGGGCATCTTTTATTCCTGTGTTTATTAAACTTCTTCACATGGCGGTTAGAGTGAGGGATAAATTATTCTCTCGTAGTTTTTGAACTGAATAGGCCATACGGCCTTCCTCAAATATGTAACCCAGTGTCCTGAAGAGTGGCCTGGCCACTTTATACATAGGCTTCTGTATTAGAAGGTTTTGAGAGCTGGGAAGCTCTTGCTGGGCACTTTATTCTTTCTGTCTAATGATGTGAGTGCTATCCAGATCCAAAAGGATAAGCAAAAAGATTCCTCTGTGGGAATTAGTGTAATTTCAGGTGCTTTCTTCTCTGACAGGAAATTGTTTAGCAAGTATAGTTTTGTTCTTCTTCATTTCTTTTATTAGCAAGAAGATCAAGAAGGTTGAATTGGTGCATCCCTGCTCTGGTGTTAAAGGGAGGGGAGTTTCATTTAGGACGAGTGGGTAAGGAAAGGTTGGGTTTATAGCAGTGCTTTCACATGCCCTTATGAATTTTTCAAATCCCTCTTAAAGGAAAGTCCCTAGCCATTCCACAGTTACCCTGCAGCCTCCTGCTGCTACTCAGCCCACTGGCCAGGTTGCACGAGAGGCTTTCACCTGGAACTCTTGTTTTTGTTTTTAGAAAAGGCAAAAATTCTGAAGGAAGCTGTCACATAGATTTGCTTGAAGGACCATGAAATCGTAAATGCAAGATTGTTGTAAAGAGAGTGGACCTGGATATGTATAAGCCTCTGGCTCTGTAGGTTCCTATTGTTACTGTGTTTGGGGGCGCAGCTGAGGGGAGGGACAGGGTGCCGATGCCTTTTTCTTTAAGCGTGTTAATATTGATTTTAGAAGCTCTGTGTTCCAACAATATAAATGCAAATGCCTGTAATTGGGAGCCTCGTGCAGAATTTCTCAACAGAAAACATGTTCAACTTTTCATGACAATGAAAGGAAAATAAAAAGCCGCTTATTTATTGGTGGTGGTTTGAATCCTGGATTTCCTTTCAAGTTACTTTGCAGTGCTAAATAAAATACCTAATTGCAGTGCTCGCAAAATTCAAATGAGTACATTTGTTCTTCTGGTAGCTTGCGGCTATTTGCAGCCTCTGGACACCCTCAGCATTATTTTAGCACATCCATAACTTCTGGTTGTGCTGTAAGCTGGGGGTGGGTCAGGGGGAAGACTTAGAAGCCCCAAATGCTGCTGGCACAAATCACTGCCGAAGTTAGGACGTGTACTCAGTGTTGGAGTGGAGCTGGGTGAGGATCTCAAGGTAACACCTATGGATGATCAGGTTCAGATAAAAGAAAGGAAGTGTCAGTGAAGCTCTCCTCTTAACTCCCTCGTGCCTCTTTTCCTCCACCTTTCCCTTCTGGGAGGAAGCAGTGAAGGTCCTTGAATGGTGGAGATGGAGCTGAGCATGTTGAGCTCACTGGGCTGCTGTGAAACGTGAGAGAGCACCCGGCTGCCTTCCTGCGTCACAGTCTGCTGGGGGGTTGTGTGTGTGAGTGTCTAAGTGCTCACCATTTCATAATAATTACTAATGAAATTCTAGATCTGTAATAACATTTCGGATATCTAAAACAAACCATATGCTTGTAAAAAAAAAAAAAGAGAGAGGAAAAAAAAGTGGAAACAGATCAACTTTAAGCCATAAATTCTTGGTAATAGAGGTCTCTTTTCTCCCCCCTTTCTGTTTATGTTTGATAGATATTTTTGTTTCTGCAGGAATGTCAACTCTTAATTTCATGATGTATCATGGGCTTAAGAAAATTGAATTTAATAAAGGCAAAAGATGAATGGCACCTTTAAAGGTCCCAACACTTGTCTTTATTAGCAGGACAAACTGCAGGGTCTCCAAACACTGCTTCTCTCCAAATGAAAGTTTAAATGAAAAGTACAGCAGTGTCACAGGTTAAATTTCATTGCAGGACTGGCTAACATCGTTAGTGAGGAGTGGGGCTGATTTCATGGGGCTGGTATCTGTTGCCTTAGATACCAGTGGAGCAAACACTGCCAGAGACTGGAAAAATCTCCGCTATAGGAAGCGTGCAGATAAACAGCCTTTTGGGAAAGGTTCTTTACCACTTGCTTCCAAAACTGACCAAATAAGCCCAAAAAAGTGGGTGCTCTTTCTCTTAAGACGCCCAAGTCGCCTCTGGGGTTCCACCCCTACTCCTGGCCATGCACCTCCTAAAGACCCGCAGTAATTCTGGATATTGTTAAATTTTCCACAGTTTTTTAGTATGGCTTTTTATTTCCTCCGTCTGTCTTAATCCGACCCTCCTGGAAGTGCTTTTTGCCTTTGGTACTGGGAGGCCAGCAACGCCTTTGTGTATCAGATCAGCAGCAGGGCTGTCTTTCAGTCTCGCTTTGCATCCAGCCACTTGATGACCCCTGAGGATGTTTCTGGTCCCTTAGGACCTATCCCGGCATTGCAGCGCAGCCCTGCTGTGAAATCCAGCCGGTGTGTGTCTCCCTCTGGAAGGGGAAATGCTCATCTTGCCCTGCCATTGGGCTTGCCTGCTTCCATGGTCACCCGCTGGGTGGGATGCAGACCTAGGGGGCAGTGAGACGCCCCAGCCCGATTTGAAAGATGCCACAGTGTTATCCTGGGGTTAAGTGTGGCTCTGTTATGACAGCCTGTCCGTTAGCTTCAAACTTTGCAGTCTGTTTTCCTTCAGAACAGAAATTTGCTGCTTTCAGAGCCTATCTGTGGTAGCCATTCTGAAGGGAGGATCAGCTGTGTCCAGCATTCCTTACTTTCTCGTGTTTCCATGGGTCCTCCTGGGTGGCTGAAGCTGGTGCGTTTCTCTGCACCACAACAGGCAGTCTGGGTGATGCTCAGGTGTTTTGCACGTGTCTTCTCCTCCCCTTCCAGCCCCTGGATTGAGTTTCCTCTCTTTCCTGGGGAAACTTGGTGACTCCCAGTGGGGTGGTACAGCTGTGGGGAAGGATGTGCCCAACCATCTGCTCTGCTTTAGCCCACGTGGCACACATGGAGTGTGGCACAGATGACCATGGGGAAACAGTTAAGCCCTGCATCCTCTGCTGTTCCACTGCTCTGTGTCTGCACCTGGGCACTTAACATTATTAACACTTTATTTTATTTTAATTTTTTTCCCTAATTTTCCATATCAGCAGCACATGTTCCCCACGTGCCCTGGTCTGGGCTGTGTGCCTGTTGCACCAGGAGAGCTGCTCTCCTGCATCTACAGGCTCTGTCCACCATGGAAATTGGGTGTTCCTCCTGGCTATTTAAATTGTCTGTTATTTCCATTTACCCACCCAGCTTCTTGCCCTCCTGCTGCCTAGTGGGGTGGTGATGTCACCAGCTCACATGTATAACCTCACGATAATTTCTGCCTCCAGGTCATGAGGGTTGCAGCCAGGGTCCAAAAAAGTGTGTTAGTTCCTCTGCAGTGGCTGCATTTTTCACATGCTAATTTTACTCACAGGAGTTGGATTTTTTTTTCATTTTTTATTATTTCTTATTTGTCTCTTCCAGATGTTTTCAGGCAGTTTTTTTTTTGTTGTTAAACTAATTCCATTCATGTTTTAAAAATTTATGAAAGCGCTAATAAAAATGTCAAAGTGGTAAAAATGTTAGCTTTTGCTCTGCTTTGATTAAATTTTGCAAACTGTTTTTGAATATTAAAAAGCAATATTTTTTTTATTCTCTCTCCCTCTCTCTGTTTCTCTCCAGAAGTGATTTGAGAGGCTTGTTGCATGGATATCACTCAGCAGCCTCATTTGCACTCCAGAACCTTGGTGCCATGGATCTCTATTAAATAACATAGACAAATTATTCTTTAAAGACACCAAACAAATTGTCACTTCTCCTCTTACATTAAACTGGAAGGAAGAAAGGGAATGGAGAAGGAGGGGGGTGAACACAAAGGATTTTATCGCTTTTATTCAGTGGGCAGCTTTTTTAATTTCATGTATATTTTTTAATAATTGAGAAATCCATCGCAACTGGATTTGTTTAAACTTTTTATTAACAGGTCCATGTAAATTTTTGATTGCTGATTATTCAAATAATTGAACATTCTTCTGATGAAGGAACGTTTTTATTTCCCTATCAGCATAAATTGGCTACAAAGAGGAAAATGAAGCAGGGCTTGCTACTGTGCTGTATCCCATAGGAATGGCTCCTCAGTCTGTTGGAGGAGGGCAGTGCTCCTCAGCCTCTCCAGAGGAGGAGGTGCTTCATGCAGTAGTCCCTGTTGTCTGTCTGATGGTGTCCTCCAAAAGGATGGTGGGGTGGAAAGGATGGGACTGGTCTTGGGGAGGGCTCAGCCCTTGCCAAACAGACTTGAGCCCATTGCAGGTACATCTCCGTGTTCCATGGGTAGCACGTGGGTGGTGAGAGACCGTCTTCCTTAGGTGCAGCTTAGGCAGGGCTGTGTGCAGCTGCAGTGCTGGGCACAGAGACCTCCTTGCTGCCATCCTGGCTGTGATGAGCATCAGCACCATCCTGCTCTGTGCCTGAGGTGTTGGATGTGCTCTGTGCTGCAGCACCACCTTCCCACTTTTGCAGAGCTTTGTGTTGGGCTTATTTTTGTTTGGGACTATCGGGCCCTTCTTTTTACAGCCACCTTGCTAAAAGGGATAATTTCTAGCTTCATTCTTTGTTTATTTTAAATGAACAACTGCTTTTCTTTTTGCACTATTCAGGAAATCATCGAATTCCCTATCCTGAAGCTGAATGGCAGGACGATGGAGATTGAATCCACCTTTCACATGTATGTTCAGCCTGTGGTGCATCCCCAGCTTACGCCCTTCTGTACAGAGGTAAAGTGCAAAGGTTCCCTGGTGCTCCAAGGGTCTCCCTGGGAAGCAGGTTTCCATTGCACCAGGGACTGGGGTCACCTTTTCACGGTTCAGCTGCAGTGCAGTGTGTCATGCCAGCCTTAGGTTAAGGACAAGGGGAATAATTTTTTGTTATTGCAGTACCGTGTAAAGACCTCACTTTGGATTCATAAATAACTCTAGCTGTGATCTGCTGACTGAGATAGTTGTATTTACAATTAACAAACATCTAACTGGGTGACCACAAAATAAAAGCTGATGCTCAAAGTCTTGTAACCTCCCTGTGAGCTCTTGTGATTTTGCTGTGCTGCTCTGTGGTGGGGAAGGTCAAAGAGAGCATGGTCTGAGGGAAGGAAGTGCTGTACGGCTGCGTATTCAGAGGCTCTAAATGACTCTCCTGTGGGCCTGCATGTTGGGGTTTGATGAGTCCTTCGGAGCGGTAGGATGTCTGTATTTTTAAGACTTTCTTTTTGATGTCATGCTCGTGGGGTGCTTGAAATGATTGCTGGAGAAGTAGCTTCTTTTTACTTGGTTGCTCTCACTACTGAGTGCAGCTGCTCTTGAGCCGAGGCCACCTTTCCACAGATACAGAATGAAGGTGGGCAGAACGGTCCCTGAGGGTTCAAAAGAATTGGGGGCAGGGGTTGGGTTGGGTTTTGTTGTTGTTTTTTGTTTGGTTTTTTTTTGTTCAACACAAAAAGTTGAATGTTTTCCCAAGTGTGTTCTTTCTTTTTGTTGTAATCATCAAAACAAACTTTAAGTTGCTCTTGCTTTGGGCTTTTTTTCCTGCCACTCCACTGGTTCAATGTTGGCCAGCTTGGTGACTAAAGTACCGAATGTGGGAATCAGGGTATCCAAGTTCTTTGTTCTGTCCCTATCTTGTCTAGGATCATAGCACCATAGCGTGTTTTCCCCTACCTTGCTGGCTGCAGGTTTAAGCCCTTGGAGTGCTTGTCCCACATGTACTAATCTGATGAAAAATGACTCCTCTGTTTTAGGTGGAGTCCCCTCCAGGACCAACCAGCCCCTTCCATATTTTCACATTGTAAAAACAAATACTTATTTTTATTCTCTTGTAACTGAAAACCATCTGAAGGTATTTTGTTTCAACTAAAAAAAAAAAAAAAAGACTAAGCACTGAAAACTTTATTCCCAGGAGAGGGGCTTTCAGAAAGCTATAAATGTGTGAGAACAGAGGGTTATAATGGAAACCGTTTTGCAACCTTAATGCTAGAAGGCTGGACAACTACTTTGGCTGTCCTTATCCCCATGAGACTTGCTGGACATATGCTTGTACAAATGTGATAAATCTCACAGTTTGCACCTGATCTGGGCTAAAAACAGCGCCATCTTCTGAAAGAGTAGAGCCCAAAATGTCCGTTTTGCAAGTCCTCTAAATTCTAGAGAGAAGTTGTCTCATTAACTACCACCAAAATTCCTTTTTCTGGAAGTCCCTCTATTTCATCCTTCCCCCTGTTGTGTCTCCTGTGTGGAGCCCTAAAGCAAGCAGAGCTCTGTGTGTGTATGTGTGTGTGATGGCCACGTGTTTGCCGGAGTCCCCAGGATGGGCACGGCTGTCCCAGCTCAGCGTTGTGCTGCAGACTCTGCTGCTCACCGTGGTCTGGCATCGTGTCCAGAGTTGGATGAAAACAGGCAGTGCTGATGCCAGCAGGCAAAATGGTCGCAGAACCCCCACCTGTGTGTATCAATGGTACGAAAAAGTCCCACTTGCCAGGTTTGGCAAGTCCTCTGTTATTAACAGTGTGGGTTAGGGAGCTAGTTTTAGTCCTAGCCTGGAAGTCACTGGCTCCTGGGCATCTTCCCACTGCACCCCTTGCTGCTTAGTGTCCAGCATGGCTGCTGTCCTTCCCAGCTTGGCAGTCCACTGGCCTGTTGCAGGGGCTGCAAAGAGGTCCAGGAGTAGGATCACGCTGGGAATGTAACTGGGCTTGTCACTAGGCCCTGTAGCTGGGGCTGAATTTGAAGCCCTGCCCTGAAGGCCACAGGTAAACTGATTGTACTGAGGACCTTAGTAAATAGTGGCGTTGGTGCCTGCTGCTAGGCAGGTGTAGGGGTCAGCCCTGTGCCACTGGTGTAGGTTCCCTCGAGACCCCAGGGACACAACCAGGACGTGCTGCTGTGGAGCTGCTGCCTGAACAGCTCCAGCACTTGCCATTGACTTTCTGCTGGTTTATGTTTTCTGAAAAATACTCATTTTGCTAAATGCCAGTAAAGGGCTTTGTCTAGGCACCTCTACTTACAAAGGGTGAGATTTATTGGCCCTCTTTGTCTACAAAGAAAGACCAGGCCTGATTATCAGATTGTACACCAGAGACAAGTGCTTAGGTAATCAGCAAACTGTCTTGGAGTAGAAATACGATGGTTTCCCAGATAAACTCTCTAGGAAAAGCAGTGCTGTTAACATTACATGGGAGCCTGTCTGCCGTGCTGCTGATTTCCCCTCTCCCCTCTGCTTCCTGCCTTTCCTGGGAAGCAGTAGAACTGCTTAGGAGAGACTCTCTGTGGGAGGGTTACTGGAGTTGCTTGACATTACTCCTTGGGTCTGGAGTACTTCTCCCTTCCCTCTTCCTCCTTGAAGAGGACAGCACAGCATGGGAAGGGCGCCTGGAAGGGTGGAGAACTTGTGGTCACCCTCCCTTTGCTTTTAGTGTGTCTATGCACCTCCTGGCTACAGGAGGTTTCTTCAACTCCCCACACAGATGGCCAGGAGCATGTCTTCCAGTACTGGCTCACTCTGAGCCCTCATCTGATTCCCTTTCTCCTGATCTGCTTCTGTAAAACAACAGGTTGTGATTGGTTATGATGAGGGCTGGGTGTTACGATGAGTGTTTAGGTGGAGAAGGTGGAAAGTGCTTGCAAGTTGTTAAAAGCTGTTACTAGGTGTATAAAGCTCATCATGCCCTTTTGGAAGATGCAAGTGGTTTGTCTGCTGCCCAAGCAAGTTCATGCTGGGAGCTAAAGGAAAGATTCTCTCTCACAGAAGGTGCTTGTACAGGCTTTTTCATGGTACTTTGCTCTCTTTTTATGATTAATTTTTATTGATTTTTTTTTTCCCTGAAGGAATAGACAATAAAAATACAGAAAGATAAATGCCTTATAGCTTGTTTGTGTTCCCAAGTACTGTGTGCTTCTTGGGATCACCAGTGAAACTTTACAATTGTGCAGTTTTATGTTTTTATACTTCTTCAAAGCTGCAAGACCAGATAATGCTGCAGAGATCCAATGCACTAGGTTGGGTGTGACAGGTGGATGTGACTGATAACAGAAAGAATCAGAAAGGGTGAGAGAATATAAATCTGGTCCCATTTGAGCACTCTCTGACTTGTATTGAAATGTACCCGTGGAGCAGGTATATCCCTTTGTATTCATGTGTATGATTTCTGCAGCACAAATCTTGTGTGTGTGTAGTGGGCAGTATGTTCTTGTACAGATAAGTTGGTACTTTCTGCCTCATAATGGCTTGATGAACTTGAGAAACCCATGTAGAAAAGCTTTGCATTCTTAAAATACTTTCCCTAAAAGGTATGTATTACCATTCTGTGGAAGTCACTTTGAGAAAATAATCTTTTTACTTACAGCTTATTCAGTGAGTCAGGTATTTGGTATTCATTAAGTGTAATTACAGTTTAATTGGAGTTTAATATCTTTTCTTTTTCCATCCTCTGAGTTCAATGCTGTAAGCCAAGCAGCCAGAGAAACTGAGAGGTAAAAACCATTTAGCTTCCTTCAGTTGCCACATATTTAATAAAGCCAAACCCTGTGGTTTGTGAGAGGGCTTATTTTTATGAGTAGGTTGAGCTGGTCTGCATGGAAGAGTTACTCCTGGGTGGTGGTGAGGCTGTCAGCACCTCTCGAATAGGTGCTATGGCTTCTGGAGCCCTGGATGAGTGTGCAAGCACCAGGGCATGCTCCTGCATTGACCTTATTTTATGAAAATGTGTGAGGTGTGTAGCTTCAGGAAACTGCCATATGAAGTGAAATCCCATAGTGTGCACTTGTTTTAGTAATGATTTTTTTAATTACTTGGATGCATTGATGGCAAGCTACTGACGTCCGATATTCAATATGTTAAAAGACAGTTTTGTCACTTGGAAGGCAGACAGAAAAATTATCTCTTTTCCATGTGCCTCAAGCCCTCCTGGGCAGACACAGGCAGAGGCCCATGAGACTTCATCTTTTTATGTCTGTGTCTTAGCTTTAAACAGCCAGGCAGTCCAGGAGCAGTCAGTAGGACTATGTGTTAGCAGGATCTGTTCCTAAGGAACCTCCTGAAAAACAGAGTGGACTGGGTTCTGGAAGAAAGTGCTTTTCTTCAGGTTTCATTTCATTGTTCTAAGTACAGTTTTGAAATGCAGAGGAAGGCTGTGATGGACTATGGGAAAAAACATGCTGGCTGCCCAGCGCAGGGGGGGATGACTGGGTCCACTCTGGGTCTTACCTACCAACAATCGTCTCTTCTGTTCATCTAACACTGAAATTTTGGTGTAACTGCGATAGCAGGGGAATGATCAGAGACCTTGGTAGTTACTGCTTCCTGTGTACATCAAGGCAACATCAAAACAGGTGAAATGCATGTTTAAAAGGGCATCATGCTTAAGCATGACACCGCTCCCCAAGTGGATCCTGCCCTGCCGAGAGTTTGCTGTTTTGTGGTGTGGGTAGGAGCCCCATTACATTTCTGTGTTTGGGATGAAGCTGTGCCCTTGCCTGTGGCTGGGGAGCTGCCAGGGTCACTCTGCTGTGACTGGCTACTCAGCAGCATCCATGTGGGTCACAGGAGCATGTTTTGGTTGCAGAGAGATGGACAGGAGAGTAGACCTTTCTAATGATCTTTTGAGTGCTGCTCTGATGCCTGCTTTCTGTTTGTCTCTCGTTTCAGCTGACTGGGATTATTCAAGGCATGGTGGATGGCCAGCCAAGCCTCCAGCAAGTGCTTGAGGTAAGCAGAGTAACCTTTAGTTCTCGAACTCTGACCTCTGGTCCTGTCGTCCCCTCTTCATCTCTTTCCCTGCACCCTCCCCTTGCTGAGAATCGAACCGCGTAATTTGACTATGATTACAGCTTCATTAGAATAACATTTGCTGTCACATTGGTGACACGCTGCTGAGAGTATTGAACCATTGATCTGTCATCTCCAGCTGTTCATGTCAAGGGTGCTGACAAGATATCCAAACTCCTGCCAGTAGATAGGAGAAGAGGCGATTCTTTCTTGAGCCGGTTTTAAAGCACCAAGACATTGCTCGAGACCACTGCTCCTGGAGGTTCTGCCTTCGTTTCTTTTCCCCTTCCCCAGCACTTTATTAAATTAATTTTTCTACCTATTTAAATGCTCAATAATACATGTAGCATAGAAAGAAAATGCCTCTCAAATCTAATCTGGAGGATGTGCAAATGCAGAGATAGCCCTAATAATACTATCTGCCTAATGTTGAATTCCTAGAGCATTTAAGGCTTAATTAGCTTGGAAGTATTTCTCCATCAATAGCTTTTGTTGGTAGTCAGATAGTGAAGGAAACCTCCTCAAGCAGAGCCCACTTGGGCTGCAGGTTGGTGTTCGATGCATTGTCTCTGTCAGGATTTCCACTGCCGTGTTACCTAATTGTTCCTAATCAGAATAATTGCAACAATTGCTTATCTGAGGAAATCAAATTAAAGGCTTTAAAATCCTCCACGGAGACAGCACTTCATGGGCGCTCACATCAGGGAACGTAAAAGGGTTACTGCTGCTGTCCCCAACTTCGGGCAGCCTCGTGCGAGGCTGGCTGGAAGATCCTGTCAGCCCAAGGGAGGCAGAAGTGTGGCTGAGAGGCTGGATGCTGCTTTCCCGGGGAGCTTTACTCAGAGGGCTGTTGTACAATCGGTCACAGGAAGAAGCATCGACCCCTGCCAGGAAAGGCTGCGGCAATGACACGAGACCGAAGACGGTGCTCTGCGAAGGTGACATCTTGCATCCATGCAAACCCCCAGCTCTCCCTGTGCTCTCCAGAGAGCACGTAGCAGCCGTGCGTGTCCATAAGCGTATGGACCCCTGTGCCTGCTTCCCCAGGAGGGACAGCCCTCTTTGCCTGGATGGGCGAATGTAGATCGCTACTGGAGTATTCCAGAAAATGGTTTGTTCTGTTTCTATGGAAGCTTCTTACAGTGTGGAAACACTTATTTAGATTTTTTTTTTTATTTGGACCAAAAAGGTGTTCCTACAGCAGCATACTTCTAGCTTAAAATGAGATTCAGGTCAGGCAGCTTCTGGGGCATGCTGGTTTATTCAGGAGTGAAAGGTGTCACGTGAGGGAAAAGAGGACGGATTTCTCTTGCTGAAGCTTTGGAAATGCTGCTAGTGAGGCTGCATAATAGCAGCTGATTGCCTGCCACCACAAGATTTTAGGCACATCATTTGCTAGTTTTAGCTGGACGAAGTGTCTATGCAGGGGTTTTAGTCTAGGTTAGTTCCTTCTGCTTAGTTCCCCAGGTGGATTGCATCCTCCAGATTAACGTGACCCATTTCTGAAGAGGATCCAGAACTTCTGCTCCTATGGAAAGTTGATCAGGAATAGTGGATTCACTTTAAATCCACACTGCCCTGAACATGCATCTCCTCAGAACTGTAAGGAGGAAAGAGGGATCCAGACTGGAAAGGAAGGGGACATGTGGCTTTGCTTGTTACTACCACACAGTGCCTGTGTGTGCCCAGCCCTTCCATTTTCCCCCCTTTCCTGTATCCCCTTGGAGCTGTATGAATCAGAGTATGTGAAAAATGCTGCAGGGGAGGGATGCCATCTCAGGATACTTGTGTATTTCTCCTCAGTGAAGGGGACATAAGTTATGCTCACTGGGAGCCCTTTTGGTACAGGGAGAGGAGAAGTGGAGGAGAAATGCCAGGTAACAGCACAGTTGTATCATCCCGTTAACGCTGCACAACTTCCATCCCTCCATGAGCAGAGCTGCTGCGGTGTCTGATAAGATCATCTCTGCTCTGGTTGCCTGATGTCTCCTATCAGAAATCTTCAAAGGTCCAAACGTGCTGTTGTTGAGATGGCAAGCAAAGAGAGAAGAGAGAGAGGGAGAGGGTGGATAAGATCACAATTTTCTTCTCTCTTGATTGCAAGCAGCTTATCTGAGTTTAACTGTTGTGGCTCGGCCTGTCTCCGCAAAACTCATCCCCTTTTCTTGCCTTACTTTCAGAGGGTTGACGAGTGGATGGCAAAGGAAGGCCTCTTAGATCCCAGCGTCAAGTCGATTTTTGTGACCTGCGGAGACTGGGATTTGAAAGTGATGTGAGTATGGAAGGGGAGGGAGATTTTTCTGGGCTTTATTGCTCCCTGCTTGCCTGTAGCACCTATGTCTTTGTCCTTGCAAGCCTGCAACTGTCCCTAATTGTCGTTTCTTAGGGGAATTGTTGTTTGCCGTGCATAACTGGCACTGGAGAGCTGTTTCGGAAGACAGGTGCTGGGCATAGTGCAAGATCACTGCCTAGGTTATTCTCTGTAGTGAATGAATCCTTTCAGAATCCCAAGAGGGGTTTAGACTGGAGTTTTGTGATGCTTTCCTTTTTATCCAGTATACTTTCCAAAGGGATGGATATTTCTGAGTGCATACGTGGAATGCTGTTTTTGTACACCCAAATCAAGTGATGGTCCTTACCTGACGCATGCAAGGCTTCCTCTCTGTCATCTTGGCACAGTAACTCGATGTGAATCACAGAGTAGTCTTTGGGACAGAATACAAAACAGCTCTGGCATGATTCATTGGTGTTCTTATCGTAAAGGTCATCTTCACCAGCTGAGTGACTGTATCTGGTGGGAACCTGCACTGAGATCTTCAAATGTTGGTGTATGTGCATGTTTTGTCAGGAACCAACCACCAACCTAAAAATGTTATTATAAGAACAGAGTTAAATGTCTAAAAGTTACATTGCTTTAATCCGTAAAGTGTTTGCAGATCAGCGTCATATTGTGCTGAATTCCTTTGGATTCCTATAATCTTGCTTCATTTTTAATCTCCCCACAGTGCTGGATAAAGACTGCTGTTGTTATCACACCAGTAAAGCATGGGCTTGACACATCCAATGCTAAACTGACAGCCACAACTCGTTAGTAGTATGACTTGGTTTCCACTTTGACATTGGCTTCCCCAAGTCGGAAGCCTAAATAAACTGCACACAGCCTAGGAGCAATCAGCCCCAGTTCTTCCCTGCAGAGTGGTCTTTGTAGAGTGGCAGCTCCTTGCCTTTTCTTGGTGTGATTAGTGAGAAATGAGATGTGAGGACCAAAGCTCAGCACAAGCGCTAGCGGAGGTGAGAAATTGGCTGTGCTCCAGTCAGAGGGTGGTATGTGAGCTCTTGAGTCAAAGTCTGGGTCTCTGCTCAAGCTGTGTCCAGAGCTGGTATATATTCCAGGTTCCTGTGTTAGCTGCTTAAATGAAGAATGAGGCTTATTTTTCTTTATATATAATGTTTAAACTTCTATTAGAGACCACAGCTGCTGTGCTAAACTTCTGTTTCTCGTCTATTCTATTTTCTCTGTTCTTTACTCCTGTATTGCTGTTCTGAGAGCCCAGTTTGCCACTTTTGGTGATGGTTGTAAGAAACAGTTATCTTTGCTTCAGGCCCATCTTTCCATCACTTTCACAGTGGGCTGACAAGGTTACCAGATAACATCCTAACTTGGCATCTGTATGGAGTGAGCAACCTGGATATGTTGGGTGGCTTTTTTTTTTTTCCTTCAGAGCTCTACCATGGCCAAACAGAGGTAAAGATGAGCCCCATTTCTGGTGAGCCGTAGGGGTTGTGGGGTGAGCTGGCTCAGCAGGACATGCAGTTCTGGAGCAGAGATACACATTTCACCATTTGCAGTGGTCTCTCGCATGGATTGTCCCTCACTAGTCAGCTGGAAAAGAAGACTCCACTTCTGGCCATGAGGTTGTAGCGAGTGGTTCATTTCTCCCGCTTCCTTTTAAAAATTTTTTTTAAACCATTAACTTCAGAATTCAATCCTGAAGCATCTGCAGGGCAAAGCAGAAAATTTCGTGTTTCCAGCCACATGGATAGCAGGAGTCTGGCTGCAGCCGCTTGGTGAGTAGCACATCACGCCGCTCCGTCGCCGATTGGGTGCTGCAGCTTGTAGCGTCACATCTGATTACCACTGTGCCAGTGGATGAGGCTCGAGTGAGGACTCCCTGCCAGCTCTGACTTGTCTCATTTCCCCTTACTTTTATCCGTCACCAGAAATGCCGAGTCTCCCTCCTGAACTAATTAAGTTTGCGTGTGTTTAGACACATTGCCAAATAGGGTTTAGCAAAGCAGAACTGAGCATCTCTTTTTAAAGAGAGAAAGCAGAGAGCTGAAACAAGGCTGCTCAGACAGGGAGATAGAGCCTCAGAGATGTGGAACATCTAGGAGGTATTCCAGGGAATCACCCCATGCTTCCCTACAAGACTTGTGGTGTAGCTAGTGCCCTTTGCTACTGTGTTGAGACCACACACTGGGCACAGAAGACCCTGGGGCAATAGGAGGGGAGGCAGTGCTGCTTGTCCACATTGGGAGGAGTGTGTTGGTGAAAGCGTTGTGTGGTAGAAACCTGACTGGGTTCCAGAGGAATTCAGGACAATGAGGTGAGTGCAGTGCTTCCTGGCTTAAGGAGCTACCACTTGTGGCAGGTCCGCTCCTTAGTAATGACAGCTTCCTTAGTAATGACAGCTACTTGCATGGCTGCCTGCAGAGCAAGCTGCAGTCCTCTTACCTATGTCTCGAATGGTGTGAAGTTCCTGTCCTCCATTGTCCTTAGCTTGGCTGGTAAACCATGCAGCCTTGTTCCAGCAATGACCTGGGCATTTAGCTTGACTCTTGTCTGCATGTGCTGTTGAAGAGCTGAGGCATGATGTCTTCTGGACTGGCCTGTCTGCTGTGAGGGCTTCCAGTAGGTGCCACTGGTAGGTGCCAGGGCACTGGAAGGCCCAGTAGGATGAGCAAACTGGATGTGGGGAAGAGATAGTTAGAATTGTTGTATATAATGTATTATAGTATTATTGCATTCATAATAAATTTTGATACAATTTCCTCATGCTAGCAATTGTGTTATGTCTGAAAACCCTCTCACACTGAAGCAAATTTGGGGGGGGCTTGGAAATTGGAAATTGGATTTTTGGGGGTCTCAAACCATGACAGGCTGGAACAAAGAGGAGGAATCTACAAGCCTGTCAGTGGTGGATCTGGGCACAAGATGGGGAAATAGCCCTGTCTAAGCCAGGAGTATGTCAAAGAAAAGCACTGGAGGAATAGGGACTGTCAAGGTATTGCTCTCTGCTGATGGTGTCTGGCACTATCTGAGTCTGCAGGATTCAAATTGGAAACAGCTACAGGATCAGTGAAGCCTCTGCTTGACTCAGGGATCCTCAGGGAATGAGGCACTGTGTGGCTACAAACTTGGTTGCTCTTGAACATTGAAGCTTTCTTGGAAGACCACAGAGCTGTTTGTCTGGCTTCCCTCAGACAACAGGGAGCACTAGTCACAAGGAGCTGGGCGCCCAGAACAGGACACCAAGCATCTGGGAGGGGCCTATGGAGGTTTAGCATGAGTTGAGGTCCTTGGCCGTGCTATCAAAGGCTTTGTTGTGGGTGTGGTGGACCATCAGAAGGAGTGTCCCTGTTGGAGGGATTGGTTACTGCTGGAGAGAGCTCATTGTGTGAGCGTTCCTCCGAAATGGAACGCTGATCCTCCACGGGCTGTGCTTGGATCAGCCCGCTTTCAGTGCTCGGTGTGTGTGAACCAGGCTGGAGGCAGGGAGACAGCAGCTCTCCTGCCACCCCTCCCCTTCCCTCCTGTTAAGATGCAATTTCTTTAATGAGGAAAACCTCTTGAGTAGGAACATCACCTTTCTTGAAGGCTTGTCCTGACAAGGCAGTTCAAGCCGACAGAGTCGCATATCAACTTCAGCAAATATCAGTCACTCATTACAGAGACTCTTCTTCCCCCCACCCCCCAGCAACACCCCTCGTTCCCAGACAAGGGAATGAATCACACTCCTGCTCTTGAATACATCATGACAAGTCGTGGTTCTAATGAGAGAGGGCCATTCATTCTGGGTGGAAAGTTCCCTGTGTCGACTCAGAAATGTTATTAATTAAAGAGAGCTACCTGAAGCAAAAGATGAAAGGAGCACCAGACCTGCCAAGCTAAAATATGAGTGGGGATACAGCCTTGTTAGGCACACGGTCCTCGGGCCTCTGTGTGCTCAGCAGGAGGATTCCTTTAGCCTGTTGCAAGGAGCTATCCTCCAAGTTTAACAGCTCCAGGGATGGATTCGGATACCTGGTGTTGTCTGCTTTAGTGCCTCATCCTGCACCTAGGTTGGAACTGCCATTATTCATTAAGCAAATAGTGTTGATGTGGCATTGGGTGGTGAGAGTAATGTGCCTCTGAAGGGCCAAGGGAGCCACTGACTACAGGAGATGGTCTTATTGGAAAAGAGGGTTCTTAGTGTCTGCCAGGGTTGAGCCCTTGTAACGTAAGCTCTTTAGTGTGGTCTGTCTCCCCTGAAATGTCAAGTTGCCTCTCTCTGTGTATAGAACCAGTTTGTGGGCTCTTAAACACAATATGAATTAATCTTGGCAACCAAAGAGGCATTTTTACCGTGTGTTCGTAGATACAGAGCTGAGATACACTGAGGTTAAGTGATATGCCTGTGGCTGTGCAGGCAGGCAGAGGCAGAGCTGAAGCCTCGTGTGCCGAAACTCAGACCTGCACCGTAATGTCAAGAGCATCAGTTAATCCTTCTCCCCAGTTTCGAATCATTCTGCAAATGCACTGAGCATAGCTAAAAGTACATATAGGCTTTAGTCTGTATAGCTGACATGAAGATGCTTGTACTGCACTTAGTGTGGCTGGTCAGAACATGCTAATTTATGTCTTCACAGGAAGCTACTGCTCAGAAGTTTTTTATTTTCTTAAATAAGTGTTAAAAGGCAAGTACTCTCTAATATAGTGATAAAACACAGTGAAGTGTCTTGAAATGTTTATAGCCCTTGGTGCTCTTCCTAGGTTGGATATTAGTAAATTCTAAGCAGTAAATTATACCACTGCTTAATTTTACTGTTTAATTCTTTCTTTGCAAGTTACAAAGGCTGGGAGGATGCTTGCCTTTTCAGAGCTGCTCTGAGTGTTGCAATGGGTTGCTCTTTCCAGCCTTCTGTCCTGGAGGTTTAGTTTGAGATCAGCCTTAGGACATGAATGAAGAAGGATTGATGGTGTTAGTGTCCCTTGTGCATGCTGTTCTTTAT